ATATGCAGCATTTTTACTTGCACAATCGTCGTCCTGGGTAAGAATAAGTGTTGAGGATTGTTGGCTCAGTTCAGCTCGTATCACAGTCTCAGATAACTTCGGGAATATATTGAACTGAGACATCTATGTGTCTTGTGCATGAGCCCAAACAATTTGGAAGCGAAGTAATCAAAATTTCGGCGCTATTTCAACCTTAGCGTGATGTGCCAGTACTTGCGCATTGAATCATCTAGTCTTTAGTGGATTCCATTAGTCTGTGCTCTCTTAAGTCAACAGTTGCCATTACTAACCACTGATTCTTTCTAAAAAAGCCGGAATCAGCGTAGATGGAGATGAAAAACACTGCCATCATCTGTGAAAACTTTTCATTATAAAAGACAAGATTTTATCCACGCAATACGCATCTTTGTTTCAGCTGGACCAAAAAACCGCCGAAGTTGAAAGGCTAAACAAAGAATTACAGAAACTCTTAAAATTCAAAAATCAGATGATGCTTATGGTGAATGATATTTGAGGTCCCTTGTTTGTACCTATGTGTGATTTCTTTGTTTTTCCAAACACAATTCCTCACGAATTCCGCATTTCAGTTTGCATTTAGCTTTAGTTCTTGTAATTACTAGTGTTTTGCTAAGCAGTGGCATGCTGCCACTGGTTTTTATTAGAATTCATGTTGGCTGTTTATGATTTGAAGCGTATTGCATAGAAAGACCATTCAAAAAAAAAAAATCATTTTAGTAAATATGCTCATTTTTAGTAATAAGTAATAAGCTAACTCTACTTGCTTGAAATGACAAGAAGTCTGACTCATCTCTACTTTTTCCCAGCTACATGGGAGTTGCAGGCGACAGCACACTTGTTAGCGGCTATTTTTGATAGACAAAATATACTTTATCTGCAAATGTTCATGTTTTAGAGCTTGAAAAAAGGTGTGCTTTCGTTCACAAACTTCCGATCTCAGTTGTTTGTGTGGCTGTCCACATCAGTAAAATTTTGCTGGAATATTTTTGTATTAAATTTCGTGCCTCCTTTCACCAGTACAATTCATTTTTACGCGTTTTTGCTTATCGTGGAAATGCAAACTTATACTGAATTGAAACGTTCATGTGTGCCTTTGTCCCGGTAACTGAAAAGCCAAAATTTCGGGTGTCTACTGTCTTTTTGAACTCGTAAACTTGGAGTTCAATCGCACTGCCCTGTATGTCCCAGCTTATGGCCTTCGATTCATTTTCGATTTGATTTTATGGCTCGGGAAGTTTGAGAAAATAAAAGTTAGCATTTTTGGGGTATTCACTAAATAATAGGATTGAGCCGAAATCAGTGCTTTCTGCCTCATTTGTTCTTCACTTTTATGCATTTTTGTATTTTATGAACGTCGAAACGTTTTACATTAAACTTCTCAAATTCGAGCGAGTTTTAATGCACGAGAATAAAACACAAGTTAAATAATTCCGAAACAATTCCGCAAATAATCTCGAATCATCAGTTATGAATAAGCCTCCAAATCGCACTGCACCTTGGTCACTGAAATCGTTTTAGAGTCGGAGATTTTTATAAACCAGCAAGTAGTATGTTTGCCGGCAGAATATTTCGAAACGAGTAGCGTAAAATTGGACCATGCATCGTACTTTGTCCAGCAGCATTAGATTCAAACACGGACTTAATTTGTAATCTAGATATGAGGAAGCTACGGAAGTCAGTTTGAAAATAATTCATCGACATTCCCAGGCAAAAGGCTCAAACGTGATAGCCTTGAGTCTCCCCCGCGTTGAAATCACTTAGGTCTAAATTCTGGCAAACTGTACTCTTTTGTTGTTTCGTATTCGTTAAAGTGAGAATGCATTAGTTCGGGCTGTGCCTATGTGTCCTTCTGTCCATTTTTTGTGATTGTTCGTAATTCTACTTCGGATCTGTGAGGGAGTGGAGATTTTGGTGTCATAATGTAAATTTATGATAAAAAGGCTACCGGAATTTTCCGACCGTTGATTAGAAGCTTGAGGCGGGATGAATGGCTTCTACTCAATTTCTAAATTCTACGGGATCGTGACTGGAGGTCGAATGTCTATTTTTCGGATTGTTTCGTAACTTGGGGAATGATGCAAATCATTGATCCGAGCTGTCAGCGCCTTTCTTGCGTTGTACGGGTGATAAGCAAATCACAACGAAATACAGAATGCACTGGCATTTAACTGGCTGGTTTGTGAAACCGCTTACTGGAAAAGCAGCATTCCGAAGTATAATTCTGTTTTTATCTAATTTATGTTGATGCCGCAATTAATTCATTTTTCGTAGCTTAATTACCTAACTTGTAGCGTCCACATTTGGTACTGCTCCACAGAGTTGTTGCAGCGACAGATAGGTGGTAAAATTGGACTTCCAAAGGTCCAGTAAAAAAGTATGGCAAGATTCTGAAGCAAGGGAAAGCGTGAGGAATTCTCTGGGCCTCCCGGGGTCTTAAATGCTTTGATGCACTGATGTTCCTGATTCACTAAGTTTGTTATTTTCCTAAAATTTCATTTTTTTCGTATTGTGCGTGAGACAAGCTTTTATTTTGTTTCACGCCATTGTGATATGTTTTTACTTAAAAGGGTTGAGAAACACTCTTCCAGTATAGATCGTATGCGTAGACACGCTGCTAGATTGGTGAGCCGAAGCAACTGCTAGAACTCGGCTCGCCTC